TTTCTAAAACCGTAAACCTGCTTAAGTTATTGAGATTTGAAAAAAAATGCATTCGTTGCCTGATGTCAAGTTAAGTGATAAAAACAGTGCCATTTTCGTTTTTCTAATTATAATTTCATTTTCAGATGAAATCCCCCATTCAATACTCTAAGCTGCTTGCACAAAGCGGAACAATGTACGATTGCCGACAGAAAATTATTTTTTCCTCTTCTTTCCAATGCTATCCCTTGCTATAGCTCACAAGGCAATAAGCTTATTCATAATTTTATGAATTTCTAATATTTACCCATTTTAACGAAGAGGCATTATGCTCTTATAAATTTCAACGAACGCACATAATGCGAGAGAACAGCGTGATTAAAATCTTTACAATTTTTTGAAGAATTAGCTTGTGTTGGGAACATGGTAAGTACACATATTTAATCGCTCTTATTAGTATAATTTTAACGAATTGATTTTTTTCAAAACTATGAACTAAACAATGCTTTCTTTTTCAAGAACTATTTTTTAAGCTTTTTCTTTCCAACGCGTTTCGCAGAACCAGTATTTTTCCTTATAGATAGAGGGATCTTCTTGGTAGAACCAGCTCCCTTCGTTTCTCGAATTTTGCGATTGTTTAGTGCAGATTCTGCTGACTTCGAGTTTGACGCTAGTTTCTTCATTGTAACATTTCTCGGGTTTTCAGTGTTACTGTGGCTATCTACAGTAGCTGTTGGATTTGTAGTAGAAGTTTGAGTTATTGGAAGTGGAATTTTTCTCTCTTGCAAAGTTCTCTTCGTTCCTTTCTTTCCTTGAGCTTCCGTTGGCAATTTTTTCATCTGTTTCTCTGCTCTTCTAATTCTTCTTATTACAAAAAAGAAAACAACGAGTAGTATGAAGGGGACAACTACAAGTGATGCAACCACTACTGCCAGAGTCCCACTGAATTACATTGTAATAGCAAATATCATCAAGGCAAGTAAACGAACAGCTCACATGAGAAGAACTCCTTGTTGCTCCTCTTCTGAATCCTCTCGTTCTGTAACTCCAACTCCTTCACCTCCCTTTGCTGCAGTTTGCGACGTCTCTGAAATTACACATAGGATAAAGTATTCCTGATCAGCTCCATACTAGATGTTGGTTATCACCCTGCAAGACTTTTGTGGTTGATTGAAGTTCCGTTGATAGAAGCATGTCAGTGGAACTTATGAATGTTGCTGTTTCGGTTGTGTGATCAGCATATGAAGGTGTTAGCGTTGCACTCGTGTATTCTAATTCTACAGTAGTTTCATCGGTTTCTGTTGTAGTTGATAGCTCTACGATAGTCTGTGTTGACATTTCTGTTGTTC